CACACTAGAACTAGAACTCTATTTCTTACTGAAATATCATTCTTTATTAGTCCTGCAACGAGGAAATGTCTTACAGCAAAGGGACAGTGCAGATACAAAGGCGTAAATAAAGCAAGTCATACAATAAGTGCAATACAATACAATCCAGATTTACATATTAAATAAAGAGCCAATATGATAAATATGAAGGCTTCTCCTTAACCAACCAAAGAAACAGACACAGTCAGAATCTAATGTCAGTGTTAGCATTCACCAGGGTTAGGAGCAGTACTACTCGGTATGCAAATTGACCCATTTCAGAATACTATATATGATATGTTTTATAATGATTGATCATGAAAGTGTTCTCAAAGCTGGTAAAGGTGCAGCTAGTTTGAATGACTTTGTATACTGCTGGGTAGCTTGTGGATTTACTCCAGGTGGAACTAAAGTCTGATTCAACACTTGATTAGATTTCACATCATTCATCCACATCTGTGAAGTAACTAAAGGGATTACATACATGTAGTGGAGGAGAAGTACACCATTAAGCTCTGAATTTTAGTGGGGTAGAAGTATGAAGTAGCAAACAATTTAAATACTCAAATAAAGTACAAACATCTTAAAAATGGTACTTAAGTAGAGTACTTCTTTAGAGATATTAAGCTATATTTGGGTCCTGTAACAATTGTAAAATGTGTCCTCTCTGTGGGACAAATAAAGGTATTCTGATTTCGTACTTAAGTAAACTTACTTAGCAGAAGTGGGAAGTAACTATAGTACATGTCATCAAGTACTGTACTTAAGTACACATTTATGCTACTTTGTACTTCTACCCCAGTCCCACCACAATTCAGGGTAAGGTGTACTTTTACTGCACTACATTTATTGAATACCTTTAGTTACTTTACAGATCTGGATGAATGATGTGAAATATAAGCAAGGTGTTGTACATGATCTGTTTGGCTTTGATTGGGGAAAAATCGATCTGTGTGCTGATGTAGAAACTGCATGGTCTTATTTTTATCTTGATTTTATGGAGATCATTGATAGACATGCACCCCTGCGTACATTTAGAGTAAAGGGACGAGACAATCCTTGGTTTTCTGCTGAACTGTCCAGTCTCCTGCATGAGAGAAACAAGGCCTGGGCAAAGGCTATACTGTCAGAAATAAAGGTACAGTATGTTATGGAAATAATTATCATAAGACGCCAATTTGTAACATACAGGACAAACCTTGATGTCTGTTTACCTTCTTTAAGGACACAGGCGGCTTAGCCAATAATGTTATTGTTCCCATTCTGTGACCGGTCAATACTGGGATACAGATGATCTGTGTTGTGGGTACACTGGGACACTTCCTTCTCTGTATTTGTGGACTCCAAGGTAAAATCTTCGAGGTCATAAGTGTCCGACGCAAGTAGCTCAGTGTTCCCACACTGTTTAGGCTATCTTCTCAAATATGTTGTTTACTCTCTGCGAAACCAGTTAGATGGGCTGGCAAGAGAGAGGCTCTCCAGAATTTACGTGGCAACTCTACCGTAGAGTCAGAACCTCTGACTCTTGGATTTGTGATGTGAATCCTCCGGCCGTAACTCCAAATAAATCACAGTGGTTTGACATCAAAGCTCCGACTCTTCCCTGTCTCCTTCCTGAGTCGGTGACTCCATTGCATGCTACACAGAAGTTTCCTCTACACAGTACAGGTACATTTTTGTTCTTTAAGGTACAAAATATACAAATGTACCCTTAAAGGTACACTCATGCTCCTGTATGGTACTAATAAGTACCCTTTTCAAGTAAAAGGTACACATTACATATGTATTGCGGAAGGTACATAAGTGTACCCTTCACATAGTGAATGCCTATAGCCTGCAGTGGCTCTGCTCACTTTATTAAGTTTTAATATTTGTTCAGGGTTGAAAGTAACCATGTAGATCACCAATAAGTGGACAGTTTATCAAAAATAACGGGCTGTTTGTAATTTTTTCAGGTATTTGAACGTATAGCCAGCCTCCTGCTGCAAATACCTTGTGGTTTAAAAAAAAAATGTTTTTAAATGTTGTTTTACAAGTAGGCTATTTAACTAATTTCATGAATGATATGTGATAATAAACTTGGTTTAATTTAATTTTAATTATTATTGCTGTGCTTCGCTGAGAACAAATGCAAAACGGAAAACAACTCTGTCAGTTGAACGGCGGTCAATACAAATTCTGAAGTTTTTGCCAATCCGATCAGAAATTTAAGAAAACCGGAGATTTTTGGATCTTCAAAGAGCCCGATTCCAATGGCCAGACAGGCAAACAATTGCATTAAGCCATTATAAATCGACGATCGGGCTCGATATATGGTTAAATATAGCAGTAGGCTATCGATTTTCATAGATGAGAGTAACATCGACGTCACTTTACGGCCCCGCCCACTTTTGGGGGAAACAACGCTGTCATTTGAACGGCGATCGAGCCTGAAGCCACAGAGCTCTTATTTTACTGTCCTTTCTTCTTAGAGGAAGTACAGAAACACTGAACTCTGGATTATTTTTAATGTTTGATGTGCAATAAACGACACGGCAGCTTGTTGGCATGATACAACTATTATGTTCCGCCTCGCTCATGAGAGAGAGAGCTGGAGAAATTACAGCCTCGCCTACTGATTTTAATTTAACCATATATCAAGACCGATTGTCGTTTACCAATGATCAAATGTAATTGTTTGCCTGTCTGGCCATCGTAATCGGGCTCTTTGAAGATACAAAAATCGACGGTTTTCAAAAAAATTTGATCGGATTGGCAAAAACTTCAGAATTTGTATTGACCGCCATTCAAATGACAGCGTTGTTTTCCCCCAAAAGTGGGCGGGGCCGTAATTGTTGCCCGGAAGTGACGTAGGTGTTACTCTCATCTATAGACGTTAATGTTACACAACACCTGATTGGTTAAGAGAGCTGAGAGCGGGAGATAATCTAACGGTCATATTTGGCCAGATTGAAAGACTCCGTTTTTTCAAAAGACCTCGGTGTTACATGTAACATGGCGAACAGTGGGACAACTTCTGCCTTGACCTGTCTATCCACTAGTGATATTATCACCAAGGTAGTAGAATATGGGATAGAAGTAACTGAACTGGAAGCTAGGAAATTCAGAGGTAAGTGAACTTTACCTTCATTCATGACTGGTCAAGTAGCTAACATTTAGCTAACTAAGGCTAATGAAAAGACCGGGGAGATGGTATCTAACGCTAGCTAGCTCCATAGTCCCTGGAGAACAACAAAAATACTGCCGGTTAAATGTTTTTGAATGTATTGGTCATAACGCAACCGTGTGTGAAGCTAACTAACGTTACCTAGCTAACTGAATATAGTTAGCCTAGCTAGCAGAGCGCCGACGCTAGCCATTACGTTATTTCAAAGACAATGTACATACAGTGAGCGCGCGATGGAGGCGTTGTGACAGTTGTCTGGCTACTTTGCTGGATGGGTGATTAGCATGGTGGCTTTCACTAAAGCTCACAGACACGGGGCTATTGACCAACATGAATCTGTTCATTGTGGAAAAGGCACTCATATTTATTTTCTTCTGCTTAAATAAAGGAGAGATTCTTCATTTCCAAGACAACGTTAGTTAGCCGTAGCTCAAGATTAGCTACATCTGTGCTAGTGTAGTGATTGCTTAACATGAGCACATGCAGACATGTAACGTTATGCGGGAAGCAGCCGTGTGCGAAGCTACCTATGAAATGCCCCTTCACACCAACGCAGCTCCCGTTCTAGCTCCGTGCTTGCTCTTCTGATTCGAAACCGGTTTTTCTTCCCCCCCTTTTTGTTCACACCGCCCAGAGCCCGACTGGTGCTGCCGCTGCTGCGTCATGACGTCACCGTTTACGTAGATGATTTTCTCCCCAACGGTGCTCACAACAACAACAATGGGTGCCTGCGTCGGGTCGATGATCCTGTTACTTTTAATCACACGAAGCCAGATTAAATTAAATAACTACTTCTCCAACCTTGCACTTTTCTCCAGAGTGCCGTGGTTCATTGTTTATTAATGTAGTTCATTCTACTTGTGATGGTCGGACATGGCAACCTGTGCAGCCCATGTATTGATTCCATCCGATAGCTGCTATAATACAAAACAAAACGTCTGCCTCTCTCCACAATGATCAATAACAGTGAACGGATGGTCAAAGTAAGGAACAAATAAACAGAATCACACGAAGCCTGGTTAGTGTTGCCTGACTTTATAAAGTGTGTTTTTTTTAATAAGTGTGTGGTTGCGTTCTAGTCACTTTGCTCAGCGCTACTGCTTGTTACAACTTGTATTTGCCATACTTAAACTGTTAGCTCAGGTTAATCTCACCCCACTCCTACGTAAACGTGAAGTATGCGGTTCTTGCTTTTAGACCAACGCTTTTCAGGCTCTAGCTCCGAACCGGCCCTGGAACCGCATTGGTGTGAAAGGGGCATTAGCTAGCCATCCATGTAGCTAGCAGAGTGTTAGCCATAGCTTACAGCTGTGCTAGTGTATGTTGATTACATGCAGGGGCAGACTGGGACTAAAAATCAGCCCGGGAAACTTGGCTATTATCAACTCAAATGTATTGCTAACCTGACTAGAACTGGAACTGCTAACAATGAGATTGGATTTGACTTGAATGTGGAACGACATAATGTCAGCATGGATTAGGAATGATTACATTCTGAAAAGTGTTTTGAGATTTGCTAACATAATTTGTGTCTTCAGATAATGATGTGGACGGGGAAGCAATTTCCTATGGCCTGACCGAGACGATGGTCGCATACCTCTTTGAAGGTTCCTTCAAAAAGCAAGCTAAATTCCTACAATTTGCACGCCAGCTGAAGGAGCCAGAGCCAACTACAACGCTGACTTTTGAGATCTTGCCAAATGATTGTCTTCTCCAACATGGCAAGTGTGACATTACCTTGTTGAACGCTCAATACTAACCAACTGCTTTTATTTTTTACGATAACTTTTGTTGTAGCTTTCATGTCTTAGCTTTACTTCTATGTATTAACTAATCAGGGGGGAAATGGTTGACACTTTCATTAGAATACAAATATCAGTCATGGGAAGCAGGAACATGTGTTTACAATGACATGGGAGTGTGTGATTGAATGGGAAGGGGTATTGATTACATGGATGATCAAATATCACTCACACATAGCGATAATGTGATTAAATATAATCACATGTCCTCACATATTTTTCAGCTTTTTTGTCCTTTGCTAATCACATGCCTCTTTGTCCTGCAGTCAAGAATATGGGAGTTTCCCTGCTGTGTTTACCCTGCCAACGTTCCCCAAAGATATCCAGACCAAACTGGACACAAAACAACCATGCCATAAAGTGTCTACTGATAGACACAAACATCGTGAGGATATTGCATGAGACGATGGCACAATACACAATGTAAATATTGCTATTGTAAATATTTGTCAGCACACCTTCTACAGTATTGTGATCATACAAATACTTAACTTACTTTCTCATCCTGCTTTCTCTAGGTATCCGACAAATTCTGAATATATTAAAGTGGCCAAAGCATTGATTTTCAGGTATCCTTTCCTGAAGGATATGGAGGGGAATGGATATGTAAGTTACTTTTACTGGTTTTATAGTCCTATGTGGTTTGTTGAATTGACAGATGTTATCTCCCCTATAGCATTTTCAGTTAAGGACAAAAGCCTTTTCGAGAGCTCATTTACAAATGAACTTTTTCTAATGAGGTGTTATCTGGGTTACATCACAATATATGTTTTGATTTCCATAACCTGACATACCTGATTTGTTTGTTTCACACAACCAACTGGGAAGACTCTATGGTAAACTGTTTTGAAAAGGGCAGGCACTTTCAAAAATACTTGGCAGGGGATTGGATGAACCACCTGTCTATCATATCTGTGCCCATGCCGTCTTTTGATTGACAGTCTGTCAGCTATGAAAGTGCGACCAATACATGGGTGCCATCTACTGACAAAGAATCCCCTTTAGCTCAACAGCTCCGTAGTGGCCAAACATCTGCTACCTTCTCTTTAAACTCAATGAGTTTCACAAAAATGTTTTGGGTTAATTTAAATCTTTGTCTCCTCTGATTAGAACACCTGGCATATGTCTTTAAAACGGCGGTTCAAAGCTGAAAGGACGCCCCTGGTCCACCACGAGGTAGTTCCAAACATGAAGCAAAAGTTTGGGCATCATAGATCACCCCAAGCACCAGAAAATAACCAGGGAAGCATAACGACTTCTGACAGACGATCTTCAGTGAGTTTATTCCTATCAGCCTGTATACACTTAAAACTGAGTCAGTAAATACAGTATATAGAAAATGGTGGCACTGCTATATTAAGCCAGGCTCATGTTTGTCATTTGTCTCCATCTGTCTTGTCTATCTGCAGGACATCATTTCTGTTTCTGGGGAGGACGAGTCCTCCATTGGTGCACACACACAGGTTTTGAAACGACAATACCTGAAGACCCAGCCTGATTCCTGCATCGTTACCAACGCCATGACCAAGACATTTCAGTGGAGGAGAAAGGAGGTGGCTGAGGGGGTACGGGCTGATGCTATCGCCAATAAGTATCCATTCTTGAAGACACCTGCTGGGGTATGTAAAATATGTATCCCTTCGCTACTTGCACGCGTAGTGTTCCGTCCATACAATCAACCTCTCTAAATTGTACTGTGTTGTAGGGCTGTGCGATTATGGCAAAAATCATAATCACGATTATTTGGTCAATAATTGATATCACGATTATTTTGACGATTATTCATTGACCATTTATTGAACTTTAAAACAAATAATATTTTACCAATAAACAAGATCAATAAATGTGTTGGAGCGCACTTCCAAAACCATACTAAACATATATTAATATGATAAATAAAAAATAAATTACACCAAAATAAATGAAATCAAATATGATGCAGTGCACTGTCACAACCTACTGAAAACTCCTTAACATATAGCCAACATTTTGGTAAAACATATTCAACATATTCCACTCAGTTAAACGTTGAAGGCTGGCCAACCGTCATGGTCCAGAAGTAACAGGAAATAAATGTTGAACTACAATTTAAGACCAAATAAAAATGTTTAGGCCACCATGGCAAATGCTGGTAGGGCTGCTCATGTCATCTCTTAAAGATTTTTTGCAAGAAATACCAGCCTGTTTACATGGTCTGGTTTCAGAGATGAGCGCAGGCAGGTGACAATATTGCCACCTGTACTGAAGACCCTCTCTGAAGAGGAACTTGTGGCAGTGCTGCCACATATGACACAGGAAATAAAGAAAAGACTCTGAAGAACCCTTTCTTTGCCATTATATAAAAATAGTGTTGCTACAAAAGTATAAATTAGGCTTACTAATAAGACAACTCAGATCTGAAGCTACACAGTAATCTGCTGCAACAGTGCAATAAAAAAGACAACATTAATAGAATCAAACCCATTTTTTGTTGCATTTTATTAGAGTATAAAAATAAATGCCTTTAAAATAGGATGCAAGCAACACTAGTTTCTGAACTGATAATAGACTATAATCAATTTAAACAGAACAGATCTTAATGTTTGCATTCTTATACCATTTTGTACAATAATTATCATGAATAAATTCAAACAAACTAAAACTTACAGCTGATTAATAACGGTATCTAAATTGAGTTTTTATTATATCAAAAACCTGTTGAAATGCTACTGTCCCACAAAAGCGCGTCGCAGCCTCCAGGAATGCTTCTTTCACAACTTCGCCGTCTTTGAAAGACTTCATGTGTTTCGCAAGAACGTGACTGACACGATAAGATGCTATGGTAGCAGCCTTGCTCTTGTTGTTGGGCCTGGTGGAAATGGACTGCTGTACATTTAGCTGTCCTTTCAGGCCCCTCCCCTTTTGGAGCGTAGGGCAGAATTAGAAGGGAATTCCGTCTCGTAGCGTTTGTGCACTGTTTTGAAATGCCGCTCCTAAATTAACCTTCTTCGATAAAGCCACGCTCGCATTGCAGATGAGACAGATGGACTTTGAATTGGAATAGATACAAAAATAATCATCCTCCCACTCGGAGTGAAAATTATATATTTTGGGCTTTTTTGCTTCTGCCATAATTGCGGTCTTGTGTGTGCGGACTGTCACTCCTGTTGACCATCCATGCTGTTGACACGGACAAAGTCAGCGAACTAGTGCACTGCTCACCAGCCACGCCCGGACACATGGGGTGAGGCCGGCCAATCACAAAGCTTTGATGCGTTCAAGTGCATTATTCTGGCACGGGAACATTATGTTACAGGACATTAACGATAAAACAGAATATTGTTGTTCTATTTTTAGACACATCTCGCGATTGGCTGGGAATCTCCCCGCGACCCTTCTTTTTAACTAGTTGCTGCTCTTGTTCTGACATCTTCGCTGGCGCTGAACACTCACAACACATGTCACTCCCACGTGGCCGAGTGGGCTTTTAGGGAGGGGCGAAAGCGCACCCAGCAAAATAATCGTATTTTGTCAATTATGCTGTTTTCCTAATCGTCGCAAGCCATAATCGTAATCGCGATTAAAATACGATTAATTGCACAGCCCTACTGTGTTGTCTTTGTTTCTGTCCGTCTATGCAGTTGTGTGAGGAAATGAACCGCATCCACAACATTGAAAACCTGCAGCACCGCTTCAGAGAGGAATTTCTCCTCATTCTACCCAAGGTGCTGGCCCTTGCAAGAGGAAAATCTCCTCTGGAGAAGATATATCTGCAGGCAAGAGAAGAGTCACTGAGCGAAGATCTACCAGGTAATGCTGTCTGTGTACAGGTGTCACTGCGTCGTAGGGCTGCTCGATTATGGCAAAAATCCTAATCACGATTATTCATTGACTTTGAAAACATCAATTTATTGAACTTTAAAAAATATATATTTTGAACAATATGTTTTAACAGTTGATTACCCTGTAATGTAACGTAACAAAAACAAAAACATTTATATCTACATTTAAATAAATAATATAAAAATAATAAATACAGAAGATAAACAAATATTTTGGAGCGCACTTCCACAACCTACTAAACATATATAAATATGATAACTAATGTCACTCACAACCTGTAATGTTTAATTATACTGCTACACGCAGTACTCTTATTTTGGTAACCCCTCACCTGGAAACAGGAAGTAGTTAAGAGGCTCCGGCTTGACGAGGTTAGTAAAAGTTGACTGTACGCTAGAGATCGGAGAATAAAGACACAGCAACTAAAGCTTCCCTTGTAACGTGTTTATATGGATTTATTAAACAGACTGCAAGACACAACCTGGCCGAGCGGGCTTTTAGGGAGGGCAGGATGTGTAACGCAAGACACATTGAGAGCATCATTGCGAAAGGGAATGCACAGATTAATTGCACAGCCCTACTGCGTCCTAGCTTCCACCCTCACTTGCCCACGTGGGTACGATCTCATCCTCTGACTTACAAACTCTTGTGACTACCTCAAACACCACCAACTACGCCACTGAAATGCTAGTATTCATGGTGCGGGTGGGCGGTTTATACTGAGGAGTGAGTTTAATCAATTCAACTCACTTACATCTGCACACATTGTATCTTTACTTTTATTTTATTTCCCTGCTCCATTTAGGTCATTTTCACAATTGTATAGGTCCGATCCACCTTCTCACCACAGTGCCACAATAGACAGAGAATCAGACACCACTACAATTTTAGACATCTGTGTTGATCTGTGTCTTCCTCTCTTCTAGCCATGGACTTCAAAGCCGGGCTTGTTCTCCTGCCAATTATTTTCAAGGAAAAGGTGGAGCATCATGTTACTTTGGAAGAGGTAAGCCACTGTCACACCGGAGGGGGGAAATGTGCCTCATTCTTATAAATGAAGGAGCAACCGATGTGCATTTGTTTGCAAATGTTCATGTTGAGTTCCATTTGAACTTGACACATGATTTTCTGTGTCTCTTTCAAGCACCACTGTACATACTTGGATTATACTAATTTACTTTCCATTTTGTGTTTAGCCTGGCACACCTTACCCGACCACCCAACTGACGCACACCAACTGGAAGTCAGCCTTCACAAGAAGAGGGCCCAGTGTGGTCAAAACGGATGGGTTTGAGTTGTGCAGGGCCAGTGATTTGGAGGAGGGAGTCATCGCAGCCTTTTGCGCATATTTCGTTTTCAACATGGCCTACCCACCAAACCGTAAGAACACCTTGACCTTCGTACAGCGCTGCATCCTGAAAATATCTGAGGAGGGGGATAAGCCGCTCTCGACCACTGTTATCAGAATTCTTAACCAGTTATACTAATGCCTCGCCTACATCAATGTCCCAAGTGCTCTCGAAGAACATTCACACTAATGAAATTAGTACAGCATGTTGGACTTATACATGCTCAAGAGTCTAATTTTAACATAACTTGTGGATTGAATGATTGTCAAAGTACATTTTCAAAATATGAGTCTTTCAGAAGACACATGTACAGAAAACACAAGCACTCCATTTTGCCCTCTGATGACGAAGAGCATGAGCCCCCTATGGACCTTGAAAATGAAGATGACGCTGCAGAAAATGATCCCTCCACAAATGGCATGGCCGAACAGCCTCCCTGCTTGAATGAACTGTTGACATCGTTTAGTGAGAACCTTGTTAGTTTTATTCTAAAATGTAGAGAAAAAAATAATCTTCCACTGTTGGTACAGGAGGAAATCCTTGATGTCAATTTTTTGTTTTCTTTTTTTAAGGAAAACTATGATGCATTCATAGCCTACCACCTAAACAAAAGTGGCTTTAACATGTCAGAAAACCCTGAAATTCAGAATGTTTTACAATCTTAAGGATTTTTTTGAAGAAGCATCAAATGTGATTAGGTCTAAATACAAGCTGAAAGAGCATTGCAAGTCAAAACTCGATATGACTGAACCTGTTCAGTACACTTTAAGAGGTTCTTCAGGACACAAACTGGGCAGCTACTCCTATGTTCCTCTTAGTCAAGTGCTGCGTAAATATTGCTCCCACGTAGATGTTTGGGAAGAAATACAGTCTTACAATAACCAACAAAAAAATGAAGGTGTTTTAAGTGACTATTCCGATGGGGTCTACTTTGCAGAGCACCCATTCTTCATGCATCATCCGAATTCCTTACGACTACATTTTTATGAGGATGAGTTTGAAGTAGTGAACCCTTTAGGTTCTAAACGTAACAAACACAAATTGTGTGCCTTTTATTATTCAATCGGTAATATGGACGGGCGCTATCGGTCTCAATTGAAGAATATTCATTTAGCTTTACTTGTGCGTTATTCATATGTAAAACAATGTGGTTGGGATGTCATATTGAAACCAATGCTTGATGATCTCAAAGATCTAGCAACGAATGGGTTCACTGTATCTGTTAGTGGGATTGAGTATAAAGTTAATGCAGCACTAGCAACGATTTCTAGCGATAATCTCTCTGCTCATATGCTTGCTGGGTACAGCATGTCATTCAACTCTGGTAGGATTTGTAGGTATTGCATGGCAACTTATAATGAAATGAAAGAAAAGTTTACAGAGGAATGTTTTGTTTTAAGAACAGCAGCTGTTCACCAATATCACCTTGAATGTATAGTACAAAATCCAGACAGTAAAGCAATATATGGAGTACAGAGTAAATGTCCATTTGATGAACTGCCCTATTTTGACACAACTACCTCCTTTCCCCCAGACATAATGCACGATCTACTAGAAGGAGTAATTCCTTTAGTTCTAAAACTTGTTTAGACTCGAGCTCATAGAGAGAAGCATATCACTATTACAGAAGTAAATGAAGAGTTACAGAAACTCTCAATTGGTCAAAATGACAAGACAAACCGACCTGTACTGCTGTCTGAAAAGCTTTTAAATAAGTCAGGAATAGTTGGATCTGCATCACAAAAGTGGTGTCTTTTTAGGTTGCTCCCTTTTCTAATAGCAGACCGTGTTCCACCAGATAGTAAATATTGGAATGTGTTCCTCTTGTGTCGTGAGATTTCAGATATTGTCATGGCATCTACAGTAAAAAAGCGGTGTCTTCCCATGTTAGACTTACTTGTACAGGAGTTCCTCGGAGAAATGAAAGACGTATTTGGGATCATTACACCCAAGTGCCATTATATGATACATTACTCTCGACTTATGTTAATGTATGGACCTCTTCGATCCCTTTGGTGCATGCGATTTGAAGGGAAGCATCAGTATTTTAAAAAAAAAATGTTGCGATTGTTTGGCATTGAAACTTTCTCTTCTCTGAAAAGTAATTTCAGACCGTAATGTCCATCAGTGAGGTTGGTGGAACTTTTCATGAATTCCAAAAACTTAAGATCTTCTGGCTTTTCATCAGCTGATCTCTCATTGAAGTCATGGTTGTATTGCTTTACCAGCAGTTCCTCCAAGCTGGTTATGGGATGTGATTGACTGCAATGGTGGGACAGCTGTTTACAATTTGGCGGTCTCCTCTCAGCAGTCCATTGACAACCCACCCTAGCAGGGGTCTGACAGCATAAGGTCCATCATCATCGCTGTTCACCACCTCCCATGGTTCCATGAGTTTTGAGACATTAGCTCCAATTAGCAGCTCCACGTCAGCGTCAATGACAGGAAGTTTCAGAGTTTAAGTGGTGCCATGCACTTAACTCTTCCTGTTTTGGAATGTTGTCACGAGTCACAGGCATTACAGTTTGTGTGAACACATCAGGTAGCTCATAGTAATTATTACTGTTGAGTGCAGCTGTTACGGGTCCCCGATATGAGGACCACAGTAACAGTGATGATACCTGTAATGAGCAGGTGAGACAGGAGCAATGAGGACACGGGTTATTTGGTTTCCTTCCAGGTTGCTTCTGTTGGTAGTTTTATTACACAAACTTATTTAAACATCTTAATTCTCTTATGCATTTCAGTGTATTTACTTAATCATTCACTTTTCTGACAGCTCCATCAACTGTCAATAACCCCTTCTGTGACAAACACACATTCAAGCTGAACTTCACTAATCTTTTTGTACCTTTCATACATCTTGTTTTACAGTATTAAACCTGTATTAAATATCCCTTGAAACTGTAATTACCCTTCTGCCATTCATTGCAGGTCACAAAAATGCATTTAAACTAGAGAATCATAATGCTACAAACACTACAGCATACTTGTGTAACAAACATTCAGTATAACACTACCTAAACTATACCTTTCATAAGGTGCATATTTATTCATAATTTCACATGTATGGAAATATTTAGTGGGCGGGAGCCTTCAGACACACTATCTCACTCGCACCATCTCCGTGTCAGACCACGTTATCCCCAAGATGGCGCCGCATGGGGAAACCTAAGCTAATACGAACACACATTCATACATTCTTTTAACATGTAAACAGCGCTACAAACACTCCATATTTTTAGTGGGCCGTCACACTATATACGCGAACATTATGGGGGGGTTCATATGATTTTTGCACCTTTTACCAACCTGTAATGAGCAGGTGAGACAGGAGCAATGAGGACACGGGTTATTTGCTTTCCTTCCAGATTGCTTCTGAGGAAACACCGGAAGTCCGTCCCTCTAACCAGTCCCCGGAACACAAACGTTCCGCCACACTACCAAATGCATTGCTCAACCCCGCCAACGAAATGAAAATAGACAGATGTACAAAACAAAGGCATATTCCAACTCCAAACAATAATAATTATTATATCAATGTGGTCACACATCCCAGGGGTGCCACACAGCCACCTCCAACCCAGAAATGATGTGACTACCCACAAGCTTTTCCTGATTCATTGTTCTCAACAGGAATTTGGCATCTTAAGCTTCCTCATCAGTCGCTCTGAGCAAAAGGTGGCCGTGCTACCAGGATCTAGGAAGCCATACGTGTTTATCACTGTGCTGCCGTTTGTAGCCTTGATCTGAACAGGCACAATGGGCAAGGCACACTCCTGTCCTCCAGCCCCAATATGGCCACATGTTTTGGTAGAAACTTTGTGATCCTCTGTTGATGTTTCGTGCTGTATGTCCTCTGATGAGACTTCCTTTCTCTGTGAATGGATGTGGAGGATGGTGGGATGTTTTAAATTACACACTTGGCAGTACAGGCGGCTGCAGCAGTCCTTACTCATGTGTCCAACAGCTAAACAACCAAAACAAGCACCCTTTTCTTTGAGAAAACACATTTTCTCTGTGTGCATCATCCTCTCCATTTTGTAGCATGTCTCCAACTTGTGATCCTCCAGACAAGATATCCTTCTTGGCCTATATGGTAGGCTATTCTCCTTTTGCTTTTCAGGTGCAGTTCCTCGATTGACAGCTTCAACAGAAGTAGCAAAACTGCTTCCTTTCTGGCGGCTGCGAGGCTGGGATATGTTGTTTCCACTTATGTATTTTGGTGAAGAGATGGACGTGTCTTGAATGTTTCCAAACAGCGGATCAGAGGCAATAGATACTTGTCGCTCAACAAACTTGACAATATCGCTGAAACTTGCTTGACGATGTTGCCTCTCCTGTAGCTCGTAAGCAAGGTTTCTCTATCCTTCCCTCATTTTATAGGGCAACTTTAAGATCATCGCCCGCATGTTAGTTGGCATATTCATCTCTGACATGTAGCTTATGTCCTCCATGGCATTGCAGCAAACACGGAGAAACAAAGAAAAAGCTTGCAAAGCTTTAACATCCTCTGCTTTCACTGGTGTCCACCCAAGCGCTTGCTCCATGTATGCAGTGGCTATTATTTGTTGATTTCCAAAGCGTTCTCTCAAAAGTGTCTTTGCTCTTTGGTATCCCCTGTCGGGTGGCATGTGGTGACAGCTTTGAACCAGTTCTTTGGGTTGTCCCTTGGTGTATTGTTTCAAAAAGTAAAGGCAATCAACATTGTTAGCAGTCTTTGCTTCCACTCCATGTTCAAATGCTCGTATGAATGCACTATACTCCAAAGGGTCTCCATCAAAGGTTGGTATTTCTCTTGGTGGCAGTGACAGTGTTGACTGTTGCTGCACCAACAGAGCTGTGATATCATTTTGCCTTTGCATGATGTTGATAATGTTGCCTTGATTCACGTTACTTTGCACTGAACCCGTATGTTGGTTGGTTTCCTGCACCAAATGTGTGTCAAGATCATGAGTGACTTGTGTGGCAGAGAATGTCTGCTGACATACTTGAGATGACGTGGGATTGAGTTCATAGGCTTTAGATCCATTTCCTTCTGGTATTGTTGTGGCTGTGAATGCCTCCATTGGCAATAGAGTGTTACTGCCACCTACTGGTGGATGATGCAACTGCTGGTTTGAATCTTTGGGGCGCGCACCCATTGACAGAGCAAAGTTCTTATCCTGTTCTGTAGGATTATGGTACTGCAAGTTTGCATCCTTGTGCAGAGTCTCCACTGACACTACAGCTCTGCTGCCCCCTTTTGGCGAGGGGTTGAACTGACCTTCCTTGTGGGATGAATTCTGTAGCAGAGGGTCTAATGGCGCATTTCCACTGCAGCGGGTAGCCCCGTTTAAGCGTCCTTAACCGTCCTCAAGCGGCCAGGCCAGTTTTTGGTGGCCTTTCCATATAGCCTAGTACCGGCTAGCGGGTACTTTTTCCGGCCCCATAAAATCGTGGTTCTATCAGACCAGGGCTGAACTAGTGACGTCAATACTCTCGACTGCTGATTGGTCAGAGAGAATCGTCACAAGATCGCGCACGAGTTCATCCCTAGCGTCGCATATATATTTAGAAGCAAGCTTGCAGCATTTTTATAAACAGCATTTTGTAAACGGAGGAGCTACAAAAATGGCTACGTCTAATAAGAAAAGCACACCGTGGTCGACCGAGGAGGTGACGACGTTCCTTCATCTCATTGGGGATGATAAAATCCAGCGGGAGCTCGACGGAACAACTCGAAATGTGAAGCCGATCGCCCCGCCTACACTGCGTTGCTACCCCAGGTCCTAAACTGTAATGGGAATGTGCCACGGCCTCGGACGGCCAGCGAGGCAGCCCGAGGCCTGAGTGAGGACACTTAGGGACGCTTAAACGGGGCTACCCCGTTGCAGTGGAAATGCACCATAAGAGAGATTTTCCTTTTGGCTCGGTCTAGATACAAACTCATTCCATTTGAATCAGCCCTTGAGCTTTGAACCTCAGATCCTCTGTTCCTGAGCACATTGGCCTTTGCTGTATAGGCAGCAATTCCACTTTGCAATTCAAGCCACTCCTTGCGTTGTCTGATCTGCTCCTCTTCACACTTTCTGGCTGCTGCGAGGCTATGCTCTTAACACTCTAGTACAGTGGTTCCCAAACTTTTTCAGTCGGGACCCCCTTGGGTATTGGAAATATTTTCGGGACCCACCAACCCGGTTCCCATCTATATTGGTAGGATTAATTGTATATTGTTGTAAAAACATTACATTTTCTCTGCTAATAATAAGAAGATACAAAGATCCAACTACAATTTTAGATTTTATTATGGATTACACATGAACAAAAGTGCTTGTAATAGATACTGTGAATTAATTTGGCCTAATTAAAACTGGTTGGCCTTCTTCCCTGAGTAGTATATTTTTAAGTAGTGGACGTTTCGGGTCGTGGCTGAACCTGTCTCTGCGGTCCTGCCTTGGGTCTCGTCATGCTGCTTCCCTGATGGCTTCCACAGGATTGTAGCTGACATCCTCGTGGATTCATCTTCTTATTACAGACACATGCATTTCCTAACATTCGGTCTATATGCTGTAAAATGTATTATCTCTTGGATTTACTCACGGCATCTATTGCACGTCTGTCCGTCCTGGGAGAGGGATCCCTCCTCTGTTGCTCTCCCTGAGGTTTCTCCCATGTTCCCTTTAAACTGTGGGTTTTCTCTGGAAGTTTTTCCTTGTACGATGTGAGGGTCTAAGGACAGAGGGTGTCGTTTTTATCACACTGATATTCTGAACAATCTGTGCTGTTGTATTTGCTGTAAAGTGTCTCTACTGTAGGCTAATTTTATTATATGTACAGCACTTTGGCTCGACCAAAAATCGTTTATAAATGTGCTATATAAATAAAACTTGATTTGATTTAAATTCAAATTTCTTTAAGGAAAATATATGAATGAACTACTATTTCTACTGCAGGTTGCAAACGATCACATCACTTTACCATTCCTATTCCACACTAGCTTATCAATTACTTGTGTGTGCTTGCTTTCCCTTGCAGATCTTCTCAAAGCGGGGCTGTTCTTTTGAGACTGCCCCTCTCAGTTCATTCTCAATGTTCAGCTTTGATCTGTATTTCGTTTTGATGGCGGCAACAGCAGAAAAAGCCTATCTCACACAAGTAATGTTGCAAAAGGCAGAATTATGCCCACAGCTCTCTGACCAATGAGATATTTTCGAGCAGTGTTTGTTTACAATTGAATAATATTAATAACAATACATTTGATTTATATAGGTGCACTTTAAAAACAACGTCATCAATTGGACCTGTGGCTGGAGCGGCCAGCTGATGTGGATGTTCTTCCGGTTATATTAGAAACGCTGTCATTTGGACGGATATAATCAATTACCACATTAGTTTTGGTTGCAGCATTGACATTTACCACATCATCAATTGCATGTGTAAATTAATCCTTTGTAGTTTGCAACCACCTTTCCATTTTATTCATAATTTCTCGATTACTGTGCATTCTTGTTTCAAACTATTCATTTTGTTTTATAACTTCATCCTCTGGTATTAATGGTTTCAGAGACTAAAGCACCCAGATATTGTTCTAAACTGTATTAAAGTAAACAGGTATTATCTTGAACTGTATTGAAGTGAACATGTATTATTTGGGACTGTTTAAAGTAATCCTATATATCTCAACCTTACTTACACTCCATGACCCAGAGACCCTGACACACACATACACCTCCTCCTGTCTTCATGCAGCACACACACATAAACTCCTTAACCCAGATATCAGCAACACACACATATGCCTCTGCTTATCAGCATGCACACACACACACATACACTTTCCCTCACTAACACACACACACACACACATGTTCTTTTTCTTTGGTCCTTGCTGGGAATAATCCGAAGCACCAATATTTCTGTGTACAATG